CAGTTATAAATCTGCTGCATGGCATTGAAAATTAAACTCATTAAACATCAAGGTAGCTTCATCCTGATGCAAATGGAAGACAGGCATGAGTGTTCTGCAGCAAACAACTCTGTGCACATCCCGTCTTTGGGAAACATATTTACACATACATCTCATATATTAACATATTTTAGTGCACCCTAGCCAGAGGGCAACCAGAAAAAGTATTATTCCATGAGAAGGACAGGAGCTGGGCTAGCTTCTCCTCTCCAAAGGATGAAGCCTGCTGTGGACTAGTCTGGTATCCATGTAAAAAACACCAACTTGCATGACCATGTTTCCCTTTCTCAGTCAGCCAACGGTCTCCCGTGATGGCCAGGTAGATCCTTGCGGACCAGAAAAAGCAGGTGAGACCATCTCTACCACACTGATGGATAGTTGAACCTCAAGCAACTGTAAGGTCAAGAATTTCTGCCAAACTGCTCTGTTAGTCTCTTCATCTCCCTCCCTTTATTTCCCCATCACTCAGGAAAGACCACAGAAAGAAGCCCTTTTTGGCATGGGCCTTGGCTGACCAGGCAGGATAGGTGTCTCAGGAGGAGAATTACATCACCGCAAAAGCAAGGAGACTATTACTATTAACGTCTTCATTTAGAGTGACGATTCTTTGAAAACAAATCCTATAGCCTCCATAGGAGGGAAGCCTGAGCCTTTCGGGTTACCTCTCCTCAGTATGTTCCATGCTAGTGCATCTATCCTCAGTTTTAGGAAAAAAAAACAACAAAAGCATGAAGATGGGTCCCCAAAAGGCCATTCCTAGGCCAGCTGCTCAGCTGCGAGAGCGAGGCAGTTCTGCAGCTCAGCAGGCTCCCAGAGGGACAAGTGACCAACTGTTGGGTTACCAATGGGCAGGAAACATCACGCTAGACCTCCCGGACTCCAGCGTGGGGGACCAATCCCAAAATGGGCAGAGGGCCACAGCCTGAGCCAGAGGGCAACAGCCTGCGTGACAACATCCACAGCCTTTGGCAAGGGGGACCTTTGCAGGACACTCCATGTGGGAGCAGGACCCACACTGCAAGGGGCTGGCTTGGTCAACAGCAGCAAGTGTGTGTTGGGAAGGAGGCAATACGAGACCAGTATTTTAATTCCATGCGATTTTGTGTAATGATGTCCAGGACTGAGGGTAGGAAAAAAGAAACATGAGAGCTACAGAGGGATCTGAGAGGGCTTTGAGTTAAAAGAGGCAACTCCAAAAGTCAAGGAAGGGGTTGGTGGCAGCAGGGGTGACACAGGGAAAGGAGAGAGAGGACCTGGCAGAACACCAAGGCATCTGGACGCAGGCTCACGCTGGGGCTGGGGGACCCTTCCTTGCACAAGCCCACGAGTGTTCTCACTTGCCAGGCAGGCGGATCCAAGGTCTGTTACTGTGACCATGGTGTAAACCTACCTGGCCCTTTGTAAGGGCTCGAAGTCTCCCAGGAACGTGACCGTTCCCTGTCAGTACAATGATCACAAGACTGCACAAGCTTATGACAGTCATTCCAGTGGAAAAAAACAACACCTTTTAGAGCACTTGCTAGAAGAAAATAGCAGTTCTGACCCAATTTCACTCAGTCGGAATCAGCTGTGGGAGACAGTAAAACTAAAAAGACACAAATGCCCATTTTCCCCATGTCCTCTCCTAATAACATGAATAAAGCTCTGTTTTGATATTTCTTCCTTTCCAGAGGAGTCCATTCTCAGCAGTCCAAGTCAGCTGTGTTTCAAAGAGAAGCTCTCCTGATTCTTCCTCTTTTTACTTGATGAAATTTTTAATTGTCCACCTTTGTCCTGTGCAGCTACGAAGAATCAGATCGATGCCGGCCATTCCTCTGTTCTCCACTTCCAAGCAGCGTCCCGTCCCCTTGTTCAAGATGGCACCATTCTAAAATGGAAGGCAGGGATAAATACATTGTCTATGAAACCAGCCAGGAGGAAACACTTCCCAGGACAGAAACTACATCCTTGCAGACTGCTGAAAAGCACACAGCACTTAGTTGAACAGGAATGCAATTAAAATAATAATAAAAATAATGACAACACTAAATTTAATTTCTCAAATAATCAATGGGAGCTAAATGGAGCAACTTTCAACACTGATTAAAAGTTTCTACCATTTTAGCCTGGGACAAAGGTACCGTGGTTTTATGAATCTACTCAGGTTTACACAGTATGAAACAAATCTGCAAGTCAGCAATAGAGCAGACCACATCCCAGCGAGGGAAAGGGAAATGCATCCTGAAACCACTCCTACACTACTGCCCTTGCCCCCGATTGCTCTTAACCTCCCCTCTTCGCTTTAAGATATCCCGGGGGTGCTCAGGACCATTTGTCTTTGTCTCCCTCCCAGCGATGAACAGGTCCCACACCAACCACAGAGCGACACAGGCCACGGGTATGGGGGCTGACAGCAGACCCGTAACAAACCTGTATGAAATTCCAGCGCTTATGGAGGCTGCTCTTGACCTTGTCGCAATCGAGGAGCTGAGGGAAACGACTTTTCACATTATCCACCAGGCAGCGGGTATCGGGTAGAAGAGTCGTGGTCCCGAGGGCTCCCAGATGAAGGAACCCCTCCTTGGTGTAACGTGCAAGCTGCAGGGCAAGGAAGAAGACGACGGCTATCAGAAGCTTTCGCGTATCATTAAAAAGCTGAACAGAAAATGACAGCTATGTAGAGCCCCAGGAAAAACCTGTGAGGATGGTACGTGGAGAAAGTAGAACTGACAGGAGGAAAAACAAAAACAACAAAAACTTTCTGTAGCCTTCTTTCCCTGTTATTTTATTGGATTTTTGCAGATGCAGATGAGCAGCTGAGGGCAGGGAAGGGATAAGAATAACTCTGAGCCTTAACCCCATCACAGAGCCAATGCCTCCAGCCTCCTTTGAGCCTAACTGCTCTGCAGGTTGAGGTGACTGATGACTTCCTGCAGGATTTCAGCTGCAGCCATTTGGGTTGGGCCCGCTGGGTTGCTGCTCCTGTGCTAACAGAATCCATGTAGAAATGCTGGCTGGACAGGTCCAATGCATCCTTGGCCCCATTCCGCAGCCATGCAACCCCAAAGCTCCCACCCAATCCGACCCTGGAGGAGAGGCTCAAGCGCAGGGTCACATCTACACTCTCACAACATCACTGGCATCCAACTCCAAACTCCTGCGCGTGGGATGTTTTTTGCTGGGAGGTCTGGAGCACACAGAGCTCGGATGGCTCCGAGGCCGCTCCGCCGGGACGGCTGGCGTGGGGACAGCCCCGCCGCCTCCCCGGCTGCTCCACACACAGGGCCTGGGTATTCGCAGGGTTTAGGGAGTGCCACCAAAATATTCCCTTAAACGTATTTAAATTCAGGAGTGCAAAGAGATGAGTGACAGCAGCCTGCCTTTTACAGGCAGGGGAAAGATATACACAGCTGCTTATTTAAATTACGAATCAATCTATTATCTAGCGGACAAATGAGGAGTATTCAGCACGTTAATTAACAGAGCATATCTGTGACCCAGATGTTTAAAAAGAGGCAGTAAATCACCCTGTGAGTTGGGGTTATCTGTTAGAATGATTAAACACTGAAAATCCAGTTAAAACAATGTCAAAGGGTCCGACTCGAGCTTGTAGCAGCAGATACAGTTATGATACTTGAACTGAATTTTGCTTTCTTCACTGTGTTGGTTGTAGGCGTGCTTGATGCTCCCACTGGCCTTCATGCCTGTCCCTCCTCTTCCTCGGGAAGGGCGCCTAAAGCACAATGTTCTCCACTGCTGGCAGAGCTACGCTTTCCCCACAATGTTTCCCCATTTCCCAAACGGGCAATGCAAGTAACTCTATCCTCTTTCTGAAATATTTGTTAGCATGCCCACAACTAGTGTGATAAATACTTTTTCTTTTTATTATGTTTGGCATCATGTCTTTAGACAGTCGGCCTGATGCCCACAAGGCAACACGATTTCTGCTCTTACGTGTTATCGCCTAATGCAGTGGGAAAAATAAGTAGAGCAAAAACCAAATCTTTCCTGAGGAAGGGAGCAGGAAGACGGGGAGGGGAGAGGGAGCTGCAGGGAGATGAAATGAGCTGAAAAACAAACATGGATATTATGAAAAATGTATTAAGTGCATCTATTAGATGTGTCATCTACTATGTACAATAGCCAGATAAATAAAACCCAGGACACGCTTCTGGATCTAGCGCACTGCGTAACGCTTGATCTGCTCCCCTGTCAACCAAAGCAGAGCTTGCAGTGACAACTGTTCCAGCCTTCCAAGCCTTTTCCTTTGACTTACAAACACAAGCTCCTAAACCCTATAACCATTCTGGAAAACATTACCTTTGCTATCTTAATCCTTCCCTTCATTATTTTGTTCCATTCTGCAGCAAGTCCACTGTGACAGCTGGCAGTATTAATTACAAGGCAGAAGCAGGAGGTCAAGATTTTAAGACCTTGCCCTTCCTTGAATGACACAAGGAAAGAAAACACAGAGCAGAGGCCCATGTTCAAGATAGCCCTGCAGGCAGCTATGGGGGGCACTTTCCACCAGGATTTGCCAGGTGAGATGAGGTTTTGAATTTACCAAGCAAGACATGGGATGCATCTCACATAACCAGGATGTGGCTTGACCAACACATGAACCAGCAGCTCTAGAAGCCAGGTAGAAGGAAGGCACCCTGCTTGGCAAGTGACTGCAGAAAACCACACAGACATGATCATCTTCAGGCTGATTTTGGGAGCAGACAACAATAAACCCTCAGTGAGCTTGCACTCCTTTAGAGGAAAAGGAGATTTTCCTTAATACAGCTTATTTACACCTGACACTGTACCAGCCTTCCCCAGATCCAATCTCTCCTGTTACTGCAACAGCTTATCTCATTGGGCTCCTTATTTAGGCATTGAATATGTCATAAAAATACTTCATAACAGTAACACTACACATTTCAATGTTATTGAAACACTCTGAATGGCTGCAGCAATTCACAAGTTCAACAACTCATCACTTCCAACAGAGTTGCCCTCTCAAACCTGGCTGGCACAGCTCCAAACACTGATCAACAGCAATACTGATCGATGAGATTTTATCTGTTGGCTACCTATGAAAGCTAAAAGAACAAAGCCTAATAGTGAGCGGTTCCCAGCTGATCAATACCAACAGTGCTCACAGGGATATTCAGGATCAGTGCAAAATACCCGAGGCAACACAGTGCTTCTTGGCTGAAGGGAGGACAAGAAGGGAATTCAATGAGCTGAGAGCAACCAGAGCACTTCAAAGTCTGTCCTCTTCTCGGGGAGACTTTGGAGAGACAGCAAGTAGGAAGAAAAGGGACGTTGCATTTATAAGAAACAGGCTCTGCAAAGCACTGAGAGGGTAGACCCTCAGTCAAGACAGGATTTCAGGAGGCTCCTTCCACGTCTTTGAGCACTCTGCTCTAAGTTTATTGCCATCAATGCCTAAGCACTGCCCTCCTCCCCAGGAATTTAATCCAACTGCCTCACACCAACTAAACAGCCTTTCCTTTGCCCTGATTCTTCCTATCACCAGGTGAGCTCTTCCTGTGGGCACCAAGACAGCTCCTCCACCAGACATCTTCCTGCAGGACCTCATCGGTTTTCTCCTCTGAAACACGTTGTAAGAAGAACAGGAGGGAATGATCTGGATTCTCTCCCTGCCAAGCACACCAGGCACCCCGAAAATATCCACCTACATCAGCAAGCATCTGAGCAAGGTTACTGTCTCAGAGATGCAATTGCTATTTTCTAGTAATCCGCAATTTCCTCATACTGTCAAAACGGTGCTTGAGGATAATAAAAGTTTTCCATTTTTGAAGGAAATGATTACGCTGACAGAGAAGGAAATTTTCCGTAAGTGTAGTCCAGGCGCAGGAAGCTAATGACAGGCCATGTAATACAATCAGTTATAACTAGTGGTATTTCATGTAATAAAACCATGTTTTCTTGGCTTTGTGAAAAGGCCGGTCACCGAAATCTTGAATTCTTTCCTTTACAGTGATCTGTTCTGAATCTTACCTGTTAAACAAGTTTCTTAGCATCCAGAAAACAGACCAAGGATGGAAGGAGTTGAATGAATGATGAAGGATATACATAATTCAGCAGAAAACAAACCAAATACAGAGATACCACCCTGAAAAAAAAATGTGTAAAGAAAGTATCAGACCTAACACATGCCCACACACGCAGCCCGTGCCCACGCTGGCACACGGCTGGGTGCCCCGCTCAGGCTGCTCTCCCACCGGGACACTCACAACCCATCTCCCTTGCTTATCCGTTTTGGCTGGCTGCTTCCCTTACGACAGGAGAAAGTTAATTAGACTGCTTAGGATGTGGGGAATAAAAAGCCTTGATGACCTTCATGGACTCTATCGGAAAATAATTTAGGGTTGTTTAGCTTCTGCAGTAAGCAGGTCATCAATTAGCAACTGTAAGTAACGAGTACAGTATTTTCTCTTTAACGCTATTTAATCCAAGGTGCTATTTTGTCACCCTTGACTCTGCAGTGTCCTGGATGATCTCAGTATTGATGGCTTTGTCCCTAAGTTCTGGTGCTAAAATGGGCAAAACATATTTTACCCTATAATTAAATGAAATGCTCTGCCGGGTGAACATTATCTTAAGCTTTATAGTATTATGGCGCTTTCTATCGTGTTAATATATCACCATAGCTCTGTCACTCCGCTGAGGTATTACTATATTATTAGTGTAATACATCATTACAGCAAGGTATTTTCATGATGTATCACTTAAAAGATGAAGCCATCAGAAAAGGAAAAAAAGGGAATCCAAGAGCAGATTCAATTTAATTACAGGCTAAAAGGATACTTCATCATGAAATCTGATCATGATTTAACCTGGAAGAGAACAGAAAGTGAAAGGGAAAATAAACAAATGGAAAAAGCAAATAAAAAAAATCCCTCAGTGATGGATGCTACAGTGAAGTTACCCTGAGCAAAAGCAAAGATCTAATCCATGTTCAGCATTAGGCATGGGATTCATCTCACCTAGATCCATCCATCTAAACGTTGCCTGCTTAGCTTAAACCACGGATCAGTCACCAGTGGGGAGAAAGTAGAACCTCAGGATACGATGCACGTCACCATGCCTTGAACAGGACAAGTCACTCAGGAGAGATTCATCGGCTGTGGAAAAGCTTAAGAACCTAATTTATGGGGGACTGCTACTGACTGGTTAGCTGATACCATGTAAGAGGAAAACCACTCAATCTGTGTGAAATTTTGGCTCCCAAGTCGCACTAGAGTAAGAAGCCTCAAAGGCACCAGGTCATCCTAGCAGCAACTGGCTTCACAGTTTACAAATATGAACGTTGTTTTTTTTTTTTTTAATTAGATGCCCACAGGTCACCAAAACCCCCAGAATCAGGCTGAGCTCATTATTTCCTGTTTTTGGAACCCCTTCTACCTGCATGGCTCTCTCAGTTCATATTAGAGGAGGTCTCTCACCTCTCTCTGCCCCGCTGCACTGGATGATAGGCAATGCAGGAGATGCAAGAGCAGCAGCTGGCAGTAGTGCAGCAAGGGGATCTACTGCTTAGAAACAGCCAGAATTTGTACCAAACCCCACAGCATCACACGGGGCTGCAGGAATCACAGTGGAGTGATGGGCTTGTGTTGCTCAAGCGCCATCAGAAAACCCAGGATCTACCCTCTGCACTCACTGCCACTGAGGAACCTGCTTCATAAAGGCAAAATGGGTTTAAAAGTGTGTGTGTGGATGAGCCACAGCATCAAAAAGAGACACAGAGATTTGAGACAATCACACTAGCATTGACCAGAGGCACCACCCTGTGTGCTTTTGGGTGCTGAAAGACCAGATAGGAATCTCCAGTGCTTGTGTTTTGCATATATATAGCAAGCGAACTAATTAAACAGTTTACATCACTTCTAATTATATTTCCAATAATAAACCAGCATACTCAGGTCATTAATTAAACAGTGGTACTAAAAGTCCAATTTTCTCCGTGCAACACCCGTATTTTTGCAAAAGGCTAATTTCAAAGCTTCTGCGTTCACCGATAACTACTTAAAAAAGGTTCTTTCAAGGAGTTAAATTAATTGCATGCACTGTGAAAGAAAAGAAGTGCCAAGAACTGGCTCTCACTTGGAGAGGAAAGGGACCACGTGGTTAGAGAAGAACAGCAAGACAAATCTGAGTCAAGCTTCTGTGACAGACAAGATGAAGGGAACTAGCAGCAATGAAATATTTTTCTTTAGAAGATCGTGTAGGAAAACATCATTAAGTTTAATCACAAAAACAGCTGAAGGAAAAAAAAACCCTGCTTTTAGCCATTCATCTTAAAGCTCAGGGTTAGCAGACATTGCCAGACTAATTCAGTTTCCCATACTACAGTATACTTGGAGGTTTACATTACCATAGGAAAAGTGCAATATTCCAGGTACATACATAAAATGCAGTGAAAACCAACGAGAGTGTTGTTATATAAAGCAAAAATTTCTAGAACAAGTGCCACCACTCTGCACTTGAGAGGCCTGAACTGCTTTTGGCAAGGGAGAAAAACATTAAGATCATGGCCTGATTCATAAAAATATATGTGTCTTAAGACAGCCATTCTACTTCACATCTAATAGAAAACTTGTTTTATATTTTCCTTTAAGATCACAAGGAGAAGGACATTCTGAAAAGGTATTTGGCATGAAGGGGAGATGACCACCAGCATATAAAAACAGCCAGGAGACCACAGGATTTAGGTAAAATACTAATGTAAGCACATAAACAGAGGCACAAAAGAGACAGGAAGAGCTAACAGGAAAATTGTAAAATTAAAATTTTAAGATTATGCCTGGAACCTGCAGATCCTGAAAGCACTGCTCAGAGTTTTAACGACGACTGTATTTTCGCAGCTAGAAGTGCAGCCGGGTTCCTCAAAACAGGCATTTCAGCCAACAAGCTGGCAGCTTCCCAGCTCTGTAAGGATGTGATCCTGCCCCTCTACTTAGCCCTGGTGAGGCCGCATCAGGAGTACTGTGTCCAGTTCTGGGCCCCACAGTACAAGAGGGATGTGGAGCTGCTGGAGAGAGTCCAGCGCAGGGCCACAAGGATGATCAGGGGCCTGGAACATCTGCCCTATGAGGAGAGGCTGAGGGAGCTGGGCCTGTTCAGCCTGGAGAAGAGAAGGCTGAGAGGGGATCTAATCAGTGTATATAAATACCGCAAGGGAGGGAGTGCAGAGGACGGGGATGGTCTCTTTTCAGTGGTGGCCACTGATAGGACTAGAGGAAATGGCCGGAAATAGATGATCTCTAGAGGTCCCTTCCAACCTTAACGATTCTATGATTCTATGTTGTTTTCTTTCAGTATTTGACATCACTATTGCTCTAAAAGGTAAGACACCTAGAGAAAACCTTGGAATCATGACTGTTTGTTTAGAATGAGTTCAAAATAAAATTTAAAATAAGGACAGGAGAAAGGAAAGGTAGAAAACTACAGCTAAATCACTGCCACATTGAAAAGGCCAGTTATCCTCCCCGTCAGAGGCATTCTTTGTTTTGTTTTCCAAGTGTGCACCTTTTACTCAGTAGGTAGAAGAAAGGAAACGCCTTAAAAATGCCTTTGCTTGCATAGGTTTACCTCTGTGGGTTGGCTACTTGCATTTAGCATTATATACTCTTGCCTAGAAGATTTTTTTTTAATGCTTTTACTCACAGCTCCAGCATGATACTGATAATTTAATCCAGCAAATAACTCTCAGAGTTCCTGGAAGAAAATCACTCCTTTTTTATATGAGATTTTTTCTTTAAAGAAAACAAGAACACGGCCAATAGACATGTTGGATGCCCATGCTCCATCCTGGAGCAGCCTCTGCCAGCTCCGGTTTGGTGCTTCTCCTGTGTGCAGGGAACCCTCACCTGAGGTCCCCAGCCGTGGCATGGATACAGGATCGCTGTGTGGTTCTCTTGGGGGCCCTGGTCAAGACACACGTCTTTCGCCTTGTTGTTTCGAAGCTGTCGAAAGAAACACGGGGTTAGGTGGTCATGTCTTACTGAAGACGAGCTGCAGTAATCTCTGACCTCTCTCATTAAGAAAAGAATATACGTTACTATATCATTGAACACAGTCAGGCACGGATCAGTGGTCCATATAATGCTTTTTATATAATTATCACTCCAGCCAACTTTCTTGATCACAAGATAAATAAATAAAGATGAATAAAGTCTTCGGTCATGTGTGGTGGCAATAAATGTATTTTTAGACTGACAATGGCACGTTGTCAGGAGCCTGGAATCAAGGTGGCATTGCTTCTATTTCACCAAAATGGAATTCTTGAAGAGCTCAAAAAGCCAAAAAAAAAGAAGAAAATCTAACATAAGGAAGTCCTTTGAATCATTGTATGGTGCAGTGGAGACAGAGTTGGCACACCAATGGGCCAGGTATTCAAGGACCCGCTTCGAAAGGAGCGCGAAACACCTGAATTCATGCCACATGGTGAAATAACAACTGAGTTCCTAAGTCTTGTTAACGCACGGATGTCTCCTCTTGAGTGTCCCCACATGAAGCAACCTAAATGAAGTATTGCCTTTCCAAAGATTACTTCGGGGGGATTTAGCTGGAAGGCATTCAGGAACTTTGATGAGAAAATTTTCTCAAAGCGAATGCTCACCTGGTGTGCTTGGTCTGCTCTCCAACAGGTCTCCTCAAACTGTCATGATGACAGAAGTGATCTAGCGCAACTGAATATTATTAGTTCCCATAAATGCCTGTCTTTATAATGCTGCTACTGTCTCAAAGCCAATACATACTGAATTAAGTCGCCTTACTTTATCTCAGCCTTAAGCTGCTGTGACAACGCACTGTATCTTGCAGAGAGCATGTAAGGAACCAAGCTGAGGTTAAGTCAAAAGGCTTTATGTAAAGAATATGTATTAAAACTATATATTCAGCTGCTTAATCCCTGGAGTCAGTGGGTAATATAGATAACTTTGTGCCAATTCAGTAAATAAGGTATTATATTCTACTGCATATGGATCTCCAGGATCAGAAATAAATCCCCACAAAGGTTTTTACAAGAAACTGCTGACATGTTTATATACATTTATATAATTATACACAAACAATGGGTTTTGATTCACACTTATCTGCTTCAAGGCTGTTTCTCATCAGAGCGTCAACAATCATAAATACTCTCAGTCTGACGCAAGGAACCCACTGGCCTTAATTACCTCGCCATAAGCAATGGTGTTGTTGTATCTTCTCATTTCTGGATAAACATGGTCCAGATACCACTGGAAATTTTTGCACTTTAAGCTCTTCCTTAATGCTTTTCTCTCGGAGACATCGCCAATGTCAATACCTGGATTCTGAAAAAACAAAGACACAGCACTTCAGTGAACAATTATTCTACTGGAAAAAAGAAGTGATTGCACTTCACTGATGTTCCCTATTGCTTCCAAGCAGCTTGCAAGCTACCAAAGGTTGCTTGGCTCAACAGAGAGGCCATGCCAAAGCTTTTTGGCATGTGCTTCCAATGCAGAAATCATTGTCACAGGACATCAAGTCCTGCATTTCACAGTCACGGTCATGAGAGGCATCCTCCCTTGTGCTATTTTGTAAGCGTTCCCCTGGCAGCCACCGGACTGGTGCTGGACACATTTAAGCTACTCATTTAGAAATGAGAACCCAAGGGGAGAAAACAGAGCAAAAGATATTGGAGGAAATACACAAAAGTGCAGTGCAGCAGAGGAACCTCTGCATCGATTCCCCAAGGCTTTGGATCAATCTCAAGAAGGGACTTTTCCAAAGGGCACAACGCCAAAATATTTTTGAAAGATCTCACCTCTCATTTAGGAAATAACATATTGGATTTCCAAAAGAGCTCCAAAGCAAATGCAAATTGAGATTTAAAAGGTGGCCATGGGCTGAGTGCTGGAAAAGCAAAACCCTCTCTGTACACTCAGCTCTAAAACATCTTGCACGCTAAAGCTGTGTGACTGCTGAGAGGCGGCAGGGGACAGCTCGGTTAGAAAGGTATGAAATAGGGCGGGGGTGCAGGGAAGAAGGAAAGGTTTAAGATTCAAATATAATAAAGGAGGCAGATAGCTAAGAATAAAGGCTAAAATTACAGGAGAATAAAAGTTTAGACTGAAGCGCAGAAAAACCTCTTGACAATTTGGACAATTATGCGGTGAAATCGTCTCCCTGGAGACATAGCGGAACCCCACTGCTCATGCCAGTTTAAAAGCGGATAAAGCTGCAATATCCATCCCGGTGGGAATAATCTTGCAGGAGCCAAGAGCAGGGATTGAGGAGCACAGTCCCTCTTTAACCACTTATTCCATTACAGAATCTGGGCAGCTAATGCACCAGCCAGGCAAAAGAAATTCAAGGCACAGTGCAACCGCTTTTATTCCTTTCCACAGGTATCTGGACTCCTATGCCTTTTTTAGCTCATGCTCTTGTCTTCTCCAGTGATCGTTAAATAGAGCTAGGAAAGCAATTTTCCATTACAACACCTGTAATGATCTTCTAATGAATTATTCACTCTGCTTTAGAGAAGACACCACTTTAATGCACTACTGCTCACTCATAGGTAGAAGTAAATATGATTCAGTGCAGATAGGCTGGACGGTCTCAAATCTGAAGGGGTGAAACGGGATGGTGAGCTAAGCTGGTCCATGAAGCACTCGCAGCTTGAGATACACAGAGCACGGACACAGGGCATGGCTTCTGCTTCGTTTTGTATATGTCGGCATCGCAAAATAATTCGAGGCACTTTCGTATCTCACTGCAAGGTAACGCTTGTCAAACAAGGCTTCTCTAAAACTAAATCCCCACAATTTTCCTGATAAGAGCTGTATCAACAGCATGTCTCATTTTTTTTTTTTTTTTTTTTTAATCACAAATTAACAATGTTTTCCTTTTTTTGGCTGACAGGGATCCATTTCTCCAGACCCATCTCCAGCATGGAAGCCACATGATGCTTCTTCTTCGAGATTCCACAGGACCTGTAACTTCAGGTTTAATTTTAATCCCTTTGTGCTGTCCAAGAAAACTTTTCCTTAGTAGAAACGTAGCACCTCACCTCCAAACCCAGATCAGTCGAGAGACCGGGTCTAAGCTGGGTATTGCACTCCCAAGCCCTGGGAAGTCAGGACACGCTCTCGGGCTTTGTTATTTGAACGCAGCCCAAGAGCGAAGTCCTTGGATCTGTGTGAAGTCCTCCTGCAGCTTAGGGAGCTTTGCACAGAAGTCCAGGGGAGCACCTAGAGATCCAGTTGCAGGGTTTGGCCCTTGGGCAAGGTCAGCCTGCCTGGAGTGCAGGAACTCACAGTAAGATGCACCATGTTGCTACAAGGAAGGATTCGGGTGAAAAATGAGATGCCAAATCTAAGAAAGTCTACACATTTCTATATGAAAATACATATAAGCCACAAAGCTACCCAACCCCTGTTTTTCTAGAGCAACAGCTTTGGAATGTGATCTTATTTTGTGAGCTGCTGTCTTCCTCTACCTCTCCTTCCAAGGATGGTTTCTACCTACCAGAGGTGCCAGAAAAAGAAATAAAGCTCATTTACTACTTTCGGCATCGTTAGCAATTTTCTGTCAATGAGTTTTACAAAAAGCCTCTGTCTGCAGAGCAGGGCAAGCTCATGGGCTGTAAACAGTGAACGGGGGGATAAGCACTCTGCAGTATAGGTTGAATCTTTAGAAATGATGCAAAACCCAGGCATTCAACCCAAGTCTGTGGTCTTTGGCAGCCTCTCCATCAAAGCCATGAGCTGGACTGACTTCCCAGCTCAGCGTCTGACCATCTGACTGATATTTCAGGCTCTCTTTCACACTGAGGGGAAACTAAATGCTTCATAATTTAAGCTCTCAACCCAAAGGAAAGAGGAGGAGAAGGTGGCGCCAGGGCGGTACCTCCAGCGGCAGGTTCCACGCGATGTAGACGTGCGATTTGTAATCGTCCATCCAGACCTCGGCGACGCGCAGGGCATTGCGCTTGGTGTAGAACCCGATGTTGTTGTTGTAGGGCTTCTTCTTGCGCTCGATGTGGGCCACCCTCGAGCAGGGCAGCACCTCCATGCTGCCCCCGCACAGCCACACCTGGAAGGCAACAGGACAGCACGGGCATCACTCACCAAGCGAGGTTTGACACAAGCTGAGACGGATCAGGATGAATTAAAGGGAGGCAAATGGTGGGCTCTGAGGTGTCTGTGACACGCTGACAAAAGGCACCATCAGCAGCACCGGGTGGCCAGACTGCCCTCACTCCAGCCATCCACAATAACAGCAAGTCACACGCATGGAAAATTTAACTAGTGCTCACAGCGAAACACATATTGTCTTTAGTGGGTCAGGACTCCATCCAGCACCTGATATTAATGTTTCACAGGCTTGGGTGCTGAGTTTACAGAGATGTTTCTCCTAATTAAAAAGGATTAGCAACAGGAATATTGGAAACAATTGCAAAATCTTGCTCTGCATAAGGGATGACTCAGTGGAACATATGGCAGGGACAGACTTCTCCCACTTGAAAACATTTGTTCATTATTTTTTCTTTCACATGCTGTTTAAAATTCCCTTAAATCACAGTTTATAAGTTAATAAAATATTTTCAGATCTTCCTGTTATCTCTCAGAAACACAATTTGCATAAAGACGCACCACACCTGAGTTCTTCACTCTCTGCTTGCCTCCACCAAGAAATTATTTATTTCTATTAATAAAGACCTGTACCCAGGGCCGCCAGGCAACTCTGATAAATACATATGCCAAGTAAGCCTAATAATCCCAGCTTCGCCTATTTTGCAGTCTGCTGTTACATTATCATTTTGCACAGTTGTTATAACACCCAGAGTTTCCGGGATCTCTTCCAAGCCCACCACCTTTTATCCCATCTGTGATCCCTAAATTTTAATGGACCCTGTTCAATATGCTCTCCCAGCAGCAGCGTGAGCCGCGCGCTCCCCACCGGGCTGCCTGGAGCCAATTCTGGCCCCTGTCACAGTGCAAAAAACCCTCCTCGGTCACCTCACTAGAGAGGAACCTGAGAACAGGCCGGGTCTAGCAATGGGCGAGAAACCATCCAGATCCGACCTCGGCTCCTTCCTGCACAAACAGGGTCCAAATCACATGGATGAGACATTTGAAATTAGTTGTTGTAGAAAATGTATCCGTGACAGGCATAAGCTCAGTAACAGCTGGCCATCTTCTTTAATAAAATGATTGATTTTAGCACACGACACGCATTTGCAACGTGTAGGTAAAACAAGGAATAGGGGTATAGCAAGTGCAATTCTCTCCTAGCTGTAATCGTGAAATTCACACTGCTAACACTGACATTACCCCAGTTTATACAAACCCACCTCCTAAAATCAAGGACCCATTTCATTAGGTGCTGCATAAAGACAGCAACAAAAGAAATCCAGTTTCACTCCTGTTCTGCCGTTGGGCCTTTCTCAACGCTTTGGATACAAGGTTGAACTCATGGGCACGGTGTCCGTCCTGCTGAGCTCAATCAGGCACGTGTCTAGCTGGTTTCTCCCAGGAGATCTGCTTGCAAGCAGGCCACACTGTGCCACAGCGAACAAGCGGTAGATAAGGCAGTTTAAAAACCTAGATTTCTTTTGGAGGAAGTATCCTCAAGGCAACATTTGGACAGCAAACACCCACATCTCATGCCCAATCAGTTCTTTAATTTCTTAATGTTTTGATGAAACAGGGACTTCATCCACTGCCAGTCGGGTCTCCCAAAGCTGGTGTGTGCCTGGTTGGTTCATCATAACCTAAAAGGCTGGTAGAACCACAGGTGGTGCCATCCTGAAAGCTCCCCAGCACCATCTCGGTTTTGTGGGGATTTGTGGGGAATTTGTCCTGATTTGATCCTAATTTCTTTATAAACTTAAAAGTCTGCACTTAGTTAACATGCCATTTCCCAGGAAGCTTCTCTGCATTGCTAAGGCTGGGACGTTGCCTTTCCATGTTTTATTTAAATAACTCACGTGGTTTTATACCAGACACCTTCAATTTTTTTGAGCGTCTGTACTAAGTATCTGGAAATACACACACCGTGATAAACTGGGAAGAAAGTGTGTTGGATCTTGTGCAAAAGCATTGATTCCATACTTATCCACGAGGCAAGTCCAGAGAGATCAATACAAATGTAATTTAAAAAGGCAACAACACTGCGAAAGAACCAATTTGTATCTCCTAAACAAATCCTAAATTACCATTGTAAGGGAAAAAAAATCTAATAGCCTTTACAAGGTATTTATATTTTACCAGAAACAACAGGAGCAAAGAAAACTATTATATGGGAAACAGTCAAGTCTGTCTTGTACAGATGAGTAAAGTATGACCGCAGGAAGAAGTCACTTACACCTGTGTGATCCACCAATGACTTTCAGTTCCTGCTGGCAAGAACCATGTATGGATGGTTCCACCAAAAGGGTTCAGTGAAACAGGACCCAACAGGACCAGTGTACCCAAGAGTGTACGAAGCATGGGATAACCTTCACCTTGCTGTGAACATCACTGAGAAACACCCCAGACTTTGTTTGCTTGGCTCCAGCATGAACGAGCTATGAGCCGCTGCAAGGACTCACGAGGCTATACACCTTTTCTCCAAGTAGGCTGGAAGTCATTGCTTTCCTGATGTCCTGAACATGCGTGTGAAGTGCTGCCAGACAGAGGGACACCTCCAATGCCACCATGCCAGGAAAAAACGAGCAGTTATCACCCATGTGCTGAGCCACGCAAGTGCTCTAAAGACAAGTAGTACCCAGCCACCAGGCAAGGACTCCCTTTGCCAATGGAGCAAGCGCCAAAGGAGGAGGTCAGCAGCTGCACCTGGGCTGCCAAAGCTCTGTCACACACCAACCTCTGCACCCCAATCATTTTTGTTCACTCGCAGTAGCCAGGGATCACAGCGAGTTGCTCCTGGTGACACAGATGTGGTCACCAGCATTGGGCTACCTGCTGCTGAGTCCCTGCAGTATCAGCACTGGTTGGGCCCTCAGAGCATTAGGACAAGTTTGCACAGCTGAGAATGTCTTTGGGAAGCAACCTTCATTATTTCTCTTTGGAGTGGCCTTCTGTCCCACTAAAAAACTTGAAGGAAGACATGGGCTTCCTGATTTTCCCCATTAATTGTGCAAAACGGAGCCATACTCATAGCAGCCAAACCTACAATCCCTCAAGATATATTTACTGCTGGTAGCTGCACTACCTGGATAGTTAGTCCAGCACGGCCTTTCTACTAATTCTTTGGAGAACTGGCTCCATGGCTCAGAAGATGGGCAATCAAGGGCAGCACAATATTAAGACCAATGAGAAAAGCAGGACATTTCAAAGCTATGCTCGTTTTGCCTGCTACTACTACTTGTTGCAAAAGATCAATCACTTCCTAAAATATGCACGGATAGTGCATAAATCCACGCTCCAAGACGCAAGACAGCACATGTATGACAGCAGATTGAAGATGAAGTCACAAATTTCCTGGTTGTTTCCCGACAGAAAGAATCAAACTGCAACACAACTATTAGCTTGCCATTCATCTGCCCGTAACGAGACACAGCACCAAAAATAGAAGCATTTCCCCTCCAGTGAGCAATGTGACTCAATAACTTCTTCTCCATCAGTCTAAACACAGCAGTAATCAAAAATACACAAAGACATTGGGATTTATAAATAACCTGTTAATGTCTATTGAAGAAACCGCAGAGAAACAGCTGACAAATCCAGCACCCGGAGAACTTTGATGCATTTCAAAAAAGCTGGGGCCGATTCCTTTGCCTCTTATTTCGTGAGCAGAACGCAATTGCCACCCAGATTCAGCAAGGAAAACTTGCGACTGCTCAAGCAGCGAAACACAGTGGGAGAGCTTGAAACATCCCCAGCAATCCTCCTCCTGCAAACATTTGCTTTCTTGGGGGCAACTTTTACATAGCCTGAGATGACCCAAGATTGTATCAGCCAGCTTCACACGCGGAGCACGATGCTTTCAGCAGCAGGCTAAAGCGATCATGACGTGCACCCAGCGATGTGCATCATGAATTACAGCCCCGCTGCACGGCGCTCCAGGTGCATGCACACCACTGTCAGCGTGCAAGCACTCAACAAAATGCAACAGCAACGTATCCTCCCTCCATCCACCTGAGATGTCCATCTGGATTGCACCCAGGAGAGGTTGTGGAGGCTCTTTCTCTCCAGAGACTGAAAACCCACATGGGCGTCATCAAGGGCGTGCTGCTGTAGGTGACCCTGCTCGTGCAGAGGGGTTGGACTAGATGGTCTCCAAAGATCCTTTCCAACCTCAACCTTCCAACCCTGCCATTGCCCTTCAGGCCGCCACATGCCAAACACAGGAGACGTTTTTAAGTCGCTCCTGCAGCGATGAGCAGTGCTTCATAGTCCTTCCTGCCCCCTGGCAGCCAGAAAGCAAGGACCCACGGCACTGCAAGAGCTGCCCACGGGCAGGCAAGAGCAACCCAGGAGCACCCTGGTGGTGCTGGAGGAAAAACACATCCTGGCACACGGGAACACACATCCTCGCTGGCGGCAAGGGACAGAGACAGGCAGGCTGCTCTCAAACCACAGCATCCAGATGTTCTTCGGTGCCTACAAGAAAGCAGGCTGAGAAGACGTCAATTTAACCCAACCAGCTCCTTCCAGTGGCCACAGAAACTGTCTCCAAAGCACTGAGCCGCCCAGAGCAATGACTCTCAGCCAGCTCCTTTGCCCTGAAAAATACACTGCAACGACCACTTTGCTTTGCTCCTGGGTGCCCAACGTACCCATTACCCCCGAGAAGTGCTAAACACAGTGATCTTTGACACCTATCTGACTTCAAAGAAGCCAGGCTGGCAGGAGGAGGCAGCAGAGGAGGACGTGGCACCAGGAGGGCACTGAAAGCCCGTGCAGCCCCATCTCACCAGCTCCTGCTCCTACCTCTCTGGCAGCAAGATTAAGTGATTAACTGTTATTAGTATATTACTTACTGCTCTATTTTCATCCAAAAACCCTAATAAAGCGGCTCATTCTGCTGGGATGTTAGAACAAGGCACAGTATCTGACTCTTTGCAGCACTTCTTCCCTGCTCCAAG